AAGGAAGATTGTAGTTGGTTCAAACATAAGTTCATCGGTTTAATAAAACATTTTGGAGATGATCTCATGAGTTCAGTGATTATTCGATCAAGTAACTGTGCTGTTTGCAGTACGTGGTCAGGATGTGGTGGAAATGCGAATCGCTTCTATTCCTACGAACACTGCATGTCAATCTGTGGTAGGTTCACCAATCGTGATGCTAGTAATACTTCACCATCTCCAGAACAGCTGCGAACTGCACACAACATATTTTCGGAGGTCTGTGAAAAGCGATCCGAACACCGCGATCCTTATCTTCCTAGTTGTTGCCAGCAAAGCGTAATTCTTCTCCGCTCCGAACACGAGTTATTTGATCGCATTAACAAATGAACGAGATGTTGGAATGAAATCTTCAAAAATGACATTTTTGTTCTTGTGAATATGATGCCTCATATGAGCTATCAAAGACACTCATTGGTACATACCAGGCAGGCAAGAATCGCCTGGATCCATAATGTGACTGAAAGTTTTCTTTTCAATTATTTTTTGTGTGCAAGTGATGAATTTCATTTTCATTCATGCATACAGATGAACAAGCAGAGAAGGCGATTCTTCACAGCAGCTCCAGTACAGGTGATCCCCATTAGCTATAGAAATTTGTTCGTGAACGGAAATGGTAACCAAACTTATGAATCAGGTCGTACTATCTTCACAGGGTTACCACCAGCAGCTATTTATACGCGTATATTGGTTTGCTATCTTCTCGTTTTTGATGATCTTTCTTAAAATGTCTTTTCTTAGAATGATTTTCCAAAAGAAAATTTTCGAAATGATTCTCTTGAAAAAGACTTTTTTNTTTTTTCATGAAATCTTACTGTTGAGTTAACGTTTACTGTTTACGCATTTATCGCATTAGAATATCTTTGCTCAGCAGAAGTCACTTCTCTATTGAGAATTCATTGATGATTATATGTTCACCATGTTACTCACAAGTGCACTTGTTCTATTTAGCAATCATTTCGTGCTATGTTTGAAAGAGCGATCTATCTTTTTCGAAAGACGGCTCACAGCTCGCAAACCATCAAAAATATTCTTCACTAATCCACTCACTCAAGCATATGAGGTTTAACGTTAAAATCTAGTGTCATTTGAATGGTTAATGCGTTTCAGCCATCATCGTCGACACGTCGGGTTTGGCACATTCGAGGTGATGCTCAAGTGCTTCCAAATGGAACTTTGTCAACGAAAGAACTTTTTCGTATTCAGCAAGTTCTACGCAATAACCAACTTCGAAGTCAAAACGAGAACGCTGTTCCGCATTACCGTTCACCGCGAACCAAAGCGACCAATAAACGTGTATCAGCAGATCGAATGACTTCATCGCCGTCATCATCAGCAGCAGTCTTGTCTTCATCGTCGCAGACTTCCAATGACGGCAGTTTAACTGACCAACAACGGGCACATCTGGAGCAAAGAAAATGGAGACATTACACTCAGGAACAGGCGCGAATTCGTGAAGAAAACTACCGACGACAGTTGGAAGCAATCCGAAATCGACAAGAAGCTTTGAATTTGTATCGTTACAATCAACAATATCCTGTTCGAGGTAGATCTCATACTCCTCTTTCGAGCACTAGTTCAGGTTCGAGTCGTCCTCAAAATCAACCATCACAAGAGCGAAACATCGATACTCCTACCAAACAAAAGTACTCGTCTTCGGTGCAACTGTTGTTACGCACTCAGCCGTACCAAGAGGACAATCGCACTCCAAAACTAAGAGCACGTTATGAATCGCCAATACCATCTGATGACAGGGAATCCGGTAGAAATGTGTTGGACTCTGAAGTTGCAAGACATTCCAACATGCAGACGGAATCAATCGGAAAATCAGAGCAACACTTTCGTCAAACTCAAAGTACCGATATAACGAATGAAACCCCTCGCCGTGCGGAACCACAAGCCAATCAGGAACGTCCGCAGGGAACTGCACAAGTGATGGGCAGTAATTCAGCATTACATTCAACATCATACGACGATCGTCAGTTGGAATACTATCGTCAGTTACAGGAACATCGTCGACGTTATTTGGAACAGATTCGAGAGAGGCAATTGAGGGAACGTGAAGCAGAGTTACGTCGTCGTGAATATCTGATTCGAACTCAATCGATGAGCGAGAAGGCACGAGCTTTGGCTTTGGAACGTTTGAAACAACAGCGGCAAATTGAATTACAGTCATCTGCTGCATCATCTGCATCTGCATCTTCATCGTTGCCATCTTCACAGTTTGCTGTCGACAAGCAACAATCACATTCAGAGTCGCACATCAACACACTATCCCATCACCCGAAAGCACAGTCCATTCAGGCTTCTCATCAGCAACCCAAACCACTCAGTCAGCAAGAACAATTCCAACCTCAACGTGAAACTTCAACGAGCAATCATTTAGGCCGTCAGCAATCGGCATATGGCAAGAACATTGGCTCATGGTTGGACAGCGATAGCCAACGATCTTACTTGAAGCAACATATTCATGTACATCAACCCTTACCGACAACAACACCACCACCACCGCCAACAACAACAACAACAACGACAACGACAGCAATACCTACAACCACTAAGATGTCCACCCCAATG